TATATGTTAATTAGATGTTTGCTTATTAATACTGTAAATTAATTTTCTGAGAATTATTACAAAATGTAGATAAAATGTGGGGAATTTATTATGGATATAAGCTGCGATGTTGTATGTTCCTGGAATTGTCCACCAATCATAAATATTGTACGACTATTTATGCGAATCTTACTACTATCGCTATTTCATTAGGTTGTAAAATTTCATTATGTTTGATGATAAGTAAATGGAACTAAAAAAAAAAAATATTTAATACGTTTGTACAGTGCTTTATTCGTTTGTACTGGTATGAATTCATTTCTTTCATTTAGATTTAATCCATATAATAACTGTATAGAAATTAAACAATTTGCGAAAAACTGACGTTATAGTATCTGATTGAATTACATAATTAGGCATCGAATAAGATTTTGTAAATATTAAGCAAAGAAATTATCCCAATAATTTAAAACCTAAATTTCAGGGCCTTCTTATTGATAATATTGTAAGCTCTAGTAAATGTTAAATTTTATATTTGGAAAATGATAATAGCTTTTATTTCTGCTTTCAATAGTATCATTATCAGTTTACTGATTAGATTTACTGTCCATCGTATTTTAAAATATAGATTAGAAGGCGGTTGTAGTAGAATACTCCAGATTGCGTCTGCGTAGCTTAAAATTAAGGAATACGGTGATTTTTATCCGAATGATAAATAAACGTGCAAAGATTATGTACTGGGACGATGAATTAATTTCAAATCCGGAAATTATATCAAAAGTTATTATAGAGTATACGCGTATTTAGTGCCAAACTAATGGTCTTTACAGCTTACTCAGCATTATTTTTATTGAAATTTGTATTCATATTACTGTAAATAACTCGTAAAGTTAGAGATCATTCAGTGAAAGATTAAATATTGGCAATTCGTACGTTTTGTATAAAAATGAAGTCTGTCATACAGGAAAACATTTATTGTTCTTTATGTAAAGGTCACGGCCTTCGTAATTGGACGTAACTTTACCTCTATTATATGTTGAATACTTGATGTTCTCTTAGTCTGCTTTGAAGGGCTTTCTCGATAAAAAAACTAATCAAATTTCTGTCTGCTTTTTCTTACCTAGTTTTGAACAATTATTACAGTATAAATGAGAACAATATTTAATTTTTCGTTTAAGTCAGAAATTTAAATCATGGTTTGATTCAAAATAATGATTTCAAAATTTCTTCAATAATATTAAAATTAAATGAAATTTTTACCGCAAGCTAATCATTTCTTTAAATGAAGTTTGTGTCTCGTTGCAACATAAATCATCGCATTAATAGTTTTCAACCCGAAACTGATTTAAAAATTGGGGAAACGACCAATCAACAATTTATTAAGAAAAGCATGAGAGAGTCAGATTAAATAACTTATAAAATACATCAAGCTTCACTTCTAACATAATTCCTAATCATTAATACATTATAAAAGTCTAAAAAGTAACCTTTAAAACATTGTAAGACAGTGTAATATTGTATTCTAAGTTGATGATATATCTAGTAATGTCTACCGTAGGTGTTGTGTTCAACATGTGATAGATATACTCGTTAGTAGCTTAAGTATTAAATATAGCTAGCTTAGTAGCTGTAATCCTTTTGAAGAGGAGCGCTACATTGCTCACACTAGAGCTTCACGTGAAAGGTGTAAACTAGCCTGTATTTGAGATGCTAATACCGAAGTGTGTAGTAAGTAAGGTGCTAAGACTGTAAACGCGAAAAGGTATATAAGCGAGTAGTTTAGTATAGTAAGTTAGTTCTTTCTCGTTAGAGGTCCTCAGCTAATCGATTACGTTGTATCTTCGTAAAGGAGGTTTTGTTCAATAAATCTTAATTTTCCAAAGTTTTGAAGATTCTTGATCTATCAACCTCACAAACATCAAAATTTTTAGCCTTAAAAATAACACTCTAACTACTTAACAATCAACACAACCTCTACCATTTGCCATCTTACTTTCTATTTTCTCAACTAAACTTTCCTAATGTAACTTTCATGTCACGTCAAAAAATTCCAAAGTTTCAAATTCACAACAAAAAGTTTGAATTCCAAAAATCAACTCTTGCAACTTTTTCTAAAATTAAAATCCAAAAATTTTACATGACTACTATGATTACTTTTCTTACATTAGTATTGACAATTGATGTTTTAGCTTGAAGATGTACGGTAACTGTACGATTTTAACCTACACTACAGCACTATACTGTCATGCTACAAATCTCCTATCTCTATGGATGGGGTTTTCTTACTGAGTCAAATTCATTTACAATCCTAATAGACCATCAAACGCCCTTTGTTTAGATTAGGCAATTGGTCTTAGGTAATTCCTATAGTAATCTGTACTATACTTTGTAAAATAGTCTAGAAGAAAATATGGTGACGTCATGATTTGGCAGGGTAAAACTTAAAGATACCATCGCTTTCTAGGTATTTTCTATAGTTAATTAGCGTAACGAATTTCATGTTTTACTTATTACTTGATAAGAATATTAAGCATTCAATATGGAAACTGCTGATCGTGTGTAAATATCAAGATTACTAATACACCACATATTGGATTTGATATTCAAATTCCATAATTGAATATTAATATCTATAAATTGCGTTAGTGTTAATAATTTGAAAACTTCATGGCTTGTTGAATCGAACGAAAGAGTTAATGTAAAACGTAATATCGGTACAAAATTTTTAACCATTGTAGCTGCATCTAAGGGTTTATCATTGGCAAGTTTTTAAGTGACGATTATACGAAAGAATCTTACTTATTGAAGTAATATCTTAAAGTCTAATAAATACTTTCTCAGTTTCATAAGTCGAAATAGGATTACAGATAACCGCTTCTCTCATAGATAATTATACCCTTGTCACAAACCAGCTTCGTGACAAGGATAACGTAAAACTAATCTCTAAATTACTATAGTCTTCCGGAATTCAGTATCCCTTAACTACCTCACAAGAATTTAGACGCCTTTGATTCTACGTTAAAATAACTATACAATTGAGAACTGCTTTATTCAACTATCTGACGGGCTTATATACCCTTCTACAGCAGCTAACATTCACAAGTCATCTTATAAAAATACTTAGGTGAGAACATCTACTAACTAGTTCTTCACAGTCGGACTACAATATGTCCATTCACGGAATCATTTTAGTGCACATTACAGCACAGCATTAAATTTACTGTAACACATTCATAATTAGAGTAATTCATATTGTAGGTAACTAGTTGTAATATATTATCACTATAACATATTAACCAAATTTAGATAGCTATTTCTTCACGGTAGTTCGTACCGTGACAACCCTGTATAAAGTTTTCTTTCCCAGGAAAGGTTTTAATTCAATTGCTATTGTAATTATAACAGATACAATAAATGATTTCTATTCCCTGATTTGTAATTTCTGCCGTAATTGTACATCGTCAGTAATTGAACCAGGGATAGAAATTTTTATTTAAAGTGTACAAAATACGATATTATTTGACGTTGCCATGATGATATTTCAGTATATAAAGAGGTTAGCTAAATATCTAGTACTTGTTATCAAGTAAAATTGCTTAGGGCTGTTCCATTCGCCATATAAATGTTTTAATAGAGGCATCTTCATAATGAACAATGCAGTATTCATACTTGCGCAAGAAATACCTCATTTAGTCCATAAAGCTATTTTTTTTCTGTTCACTATCTGATCGCGTATAATATATTTTAATTAATAAATATAAAGCTTTCCATATATACTAAACTTACCAATTAACAGTTCTGTGAGTTTTACCGTGCTATACAGGTACCGTATAAGGCGTTTTAAAGTATACTAATATAAAACAATATTTTTGAATTAATGAATTGTATAGGTTAGCTTAAGATGAAACATTCATATGCAAATTAAAGAATTTTCGATATAAGGGTTAATTGTATGATAAAATTTCTACGATAATCGATAAAAGGCTACTTTGATTATCATATTGAGGGCCGAATTCACCTTATTAATAATATATTGAGAGAGCTCCTTTATTTACAACTTTGGTGCTCTACAATAGGCTACAATTTGAGGCTCATAAGAATCCTAATGAAATTGTTATATAAGTTGCAGGAAATTATTAGTGTTTAAAAGAACTCAAATCTTCCCGTAATTGTTGCTTATTTCTAAGAGTATCGAATTATTTGATATATAATACTACGTTTGTCATAATCCAGTTTTCTGGCGGTCTACGTATATAGGTTACAGCCAAAACCCGAAGTTGGCCAATATTTACAATATAAAACATTATTGACCATTAACCGCGTGGTTTATTAATTTATTTTGAAATCTTGACCAATAAACAGTATAATTTTTGTTTGAATAGTGAACAAAGATAGCCAATTAAATTCTGTAGGATAACCTATAAAAGTAACGCGAGCTGTTGTTAGGGTACAATTTATGCAACTTTGCTAAGGATCGTTCTAGTTTGCAACAAAGCGAGACAAGTTTCAATCCATTTATATTTGCTGATTAATCTTTCTTCCATTTTGTATTTTGTACTAACATTTAATCATTTAGTTAGTTATTATTTGCAATGGCATCGAATAATGATATGAAAAGGAAATTCGATGGAGAGCTCTTAAAGCAGTCGAATACGAAAGGTAGCAACTCCAAAATTTTCACTCTCGATAAGTATAAAGCTCTAATCGAAGAAGTGAAAGCAGCTAAGCCGACAAATAAGAAGACTTCAACGGAATATCGTCGCTTGGCTCGCTTTGATGTCATCCAAGTTGGAGAGTTAGAAAAATTGATAGAGCCTGTCAAGAAGGACCAAAATATCTGGTACTTCTTGTATACAGATGAAACATTTGACATCATACATGAAATACACTTGAGGGTTGGTCACGGTGGAAGAAACCGCATGGTAAAAGAATTGAACGTCAAATATAAAAATTTTACGAAAGAAATAATTATGCTGTACATCTGTTTTCTAAAATAAGGGCTTTGTTGAATCTTATACAAAGATTAACTACACGTGGCTCTACTCTAGCCGAATACTACTACTATAGATTTCTATAACGAACTAACAGAATAATCTAAAGTTGCATTAACAATAGAGGTTGTTAATTAATTATCTTATATGAAGTCCTTAATGGCAATATTCATAATAATTCCTATAACTTTAAAAGGATAGTTCTATTTTATGTGCATGTTACGATGCGTAAGCTCGTCCTAATGAAGATTCCTTTTTAGTTCGTTAGTCGGTTAGATAGTCAACTAGTTTTTCAATTGATATTTAGTTGTAAAGACTATAATCTTGGGTGCCAAGATTCCTTCAGTAATAAATGATAGTAAATCTCTGACTATCTCGTCTACATCATCTGTGACGCTATAATTATACCATAATATTCGGTCGTTGGAACTGAATTATTTGGTGATATAGCTAATCTCGCGTCTTTAAGTTAGTAAGTGGCGTTCTCCGCAAGGATTGGCGTGTGTAGACTACTTTGTCACTAGTGGTGTGTGACATGCATGCTTTTATACTTTTCGTAGCATTCGCAGTTACAATCCGTAACGCAACCTTTTAACTTATATTACAAATAGTTAAATTATTCTTAGTAACACTATTCTACTGCGAACCATCATTAATCCAATATGGATACGACAACAGTACTTACGTAGACATTATTCACACCAGCCAAAGTACAATGAATTAACCATATCCTAATATCTGATTTACAGTTCTATTTTACCTATAGCCTTATTAGTAACTCAGCACCTCACTGTATATAGTCATCTGTACTCTAGCATAGAGTCTATACCACTACAGTCTATAGTTATAGCTACCAAATATCTCTTAGGATAAATATCTACCGTACATTATACTATACATGGCTAACAGTCTACATTCACAATACTAGTTACATTACAATAGGCTATTAAGATCTGGCGAAAATATACTACAATAAATTCTATTATATAATAGCAAGAGCTACGCTTTTCTTTTCATTTTTTTATGAAGCAGCTCCAGGAACTACTCTTCTTAATCAAAGTCTTAAAATCAATAGCCCATACGGTATTATAATCTGTAGAACAGTTTTATTCAGTGAACTTATGTTGAGAAGGAAATTTGCATGGCTGCCGTACCATAATTTCCATACGATAACTTATCTGGGAATGTGTTGATATTAATTTATTCATGACGTTACGCATACTTTAATAGATAATTGCATAATTTGACGATGTTATCTACGTATTGATAATCAATATTTAGGTAGATTGGCTATAAATAAACTGGTTTTTTAATTAAATTTGGTTTCAGTTTTGTATTAGAGAGACTAGTGATGTATATGTTGCTCCTACCGATGAGAGATCCTCAGTATTTGGAGTTATACAGTTAGTAAATGCCGGTTAACAAACCTGACTTTAGCCTCGTAGCTTTAGTTTTTCGTAGTAGTTTAGCTTTTTCTTGCTACAAATTTCTATTTCTAACAACCCCCAAACCGCTATTTGATTAATATCATCAGGTTTATAGTCAATAAATGCACTTGCGAATGAATGATGTCTTAACTGAGAAATACCAAGTCACTTATTTGATTAAGTGATGAATTATAACCACGATACGATCATCATATTTTCTTACATTATAGCGCTCAAATACTGCAAACATCAATGTTTCTATAAATACGAATTGCAAATAAGATAGTACTTTTACAGGCTATCTACGCTCTTCCGATATCATTTATTCTCTTCATAGCTATTTCGGCATGCAAGATTGATTGGTAATTTTATTAGCTTGATCAGCTAGTCATTTTACAAAGTACTTAATCGCATTTCTATAGCTACCATATACGTGCTACAGTAATTCTTTCTTGAGATGTTATCAGACATTGCGGATCATTTATTACAGTTGATCAAAAGCATTTAGTGAAATGATTACTAAAAAAGTTATTTATCTGTAAAACGATTTCTTTGTTGACAATATTACTTCAAATTGCTAGCCATATCTAGTGATATATACTGTCCTTACGTGCTTTTTCTAAACCTTTAATGACCTTGGAAATGAAATCGAATTAGTAAAGCTCTATTTTTCGTTCATATCTATGCGGCTATAATTATTACTGCAGGATTGAGCTGCAAAGAGAATTATTCCTGAAGGTAGTTATGATTCTACATGTTTTATATATTTTCCAAATAATCTGTTTATACTTGCAACGACGTTTTATTACTGTACTAGTTAATGATTTCTCTGACTTAGACTTCAATTTTGCTTAGAAGTAATGATCGTTTATAATTTCCTTTGAAGTTATTGTACTATATTGTAGTGCAGCCCAAATATAGCTTAAGATTATATACAGTATGTGTGAATATCGTGCATGACGTAATTACTAGGCTAATTAAGATAGATACCCTTGTATAGGTGCTAGATCGTAGAGTGAGATTAAATATGTGAGGATTTGTATTAGTAATTGCAATACGGATTGTAAAAGTTATTAGTCATACTGTTTGGCACCTCCAGGTACGCTAGAGGTGTGATGTTAGCCTTATTAAGGTAGATAATGATTTATGTGTCACGAAGATACTCTGTACATAATTGTATATAAGCAGGAGATTTTATCTCCGAAGACAGAGTAGCCATAGATAATCTAGTCCTTGGTAGAAGACGTAATTATTGTAATAAAGTGATTTTCCTTCAAGTTGTGGAAGTCGTTGCGTTTCGATAGACACTTTATTACATATATTAATGCAATGAGAGTACAATATTTTGTGAAATGTTGAAATTGATGAATTAAAGTCTTATTGTTATGCTTTAGCTATTATAGTAAAAGCTTTTGTAATGAGATAAAAATACTTCTATAAAGCGAATGCCAAAATTAAATATTCAATTGCGCTACCATCAATAATATTTATATTTTTAGATTATTTAACGCGATATTATTATTGCGCATTGATAATAACTGGTAACCTTGAAGGACTATTAATATCTTTTAAGAAAGCTATCGATTTTAAAATTAGGGTAATTTTTATAACTATTACTATATTAAAGAGTTCGAAAAGTTATGTTGGTGCTAGGATGAATAAAATTGTTCTAACAATACAGGAATGAAACTCTAAGGAGGGCAAATGGGTAACGGTGATTGTTGCCTTACATGTATTCACCAAAAGTCAGCAGGCACTCGACTGAATAGTTTTCTTCACTTAGCATACAGTAATATATACTTTACGAACTTTTACTTGACTTAAATGCTTAAGACTTATGTAGTTTAACTTTTAATAATTGAATTCGTACGGTCTTGATTTATAAGTTTAAAGATGCAAGTTTTATTAGATCTTACGTGATAAATTGTGAGTCATAACCTTAATATAGGGACTGCACTGTTTAGAATCATATGTTCGAAATATGAACAATATTAAACAAAGCAATGATCATTATAAAAAGTGGACATTTAAAGCGGAATCCATTTTATAATTTGCAAGTTACTTGCTGACATTAAATAAGTAATAGGAGAAAAAGAAAAATCTAATAGCTGCTGTTTTATGATAATTGTCTTAGTCTATCGGGTTTCAATTTATTAAAATTATTTTCAATTCAATTAAAGTTACTGTCAACGAATTAAGTAAATAAAATCTTATATGTAACGAATTAAATCATTTAAATGCTAATATGGCGATGAACTAAAAGTTTATAACAGAATTAAAACCTAGGCTAAGCCGTTACCATTTTTAGCAAAACTCGTATGTTTTGGGTAATAATTAGCCGAATTTTGAGGTATTAGTACTGCTTGTAATTTCACGTTGCAGTGTATTTGTGGAATGATAAAATAAGCTGCTGGTTTTTGGTCAATCGCCATACTATAAATTACAAGGATTTGTGTATTTTATATATAATGAACAACTAATGTCGAAACTAATTCAATAAAGGAGTTACTACATGATGAATACGTATACTGTATTAGAAATATATTCTGGATAGGCATTATATAAATCCAAAAAATATTCCAGATAATTCATGATATACTCGATACGAATACAAGTAAAAATTTCTTAAAGCTATCATTTTAGATTTTCTATCTTAAATTAATTTAGGAAATAAAATATCTTGTATACAGCTCATTAAATTTCAAAAACTTCTTAAAAACCCTTCAACGTATGTTGTAGTCTCAGCTAATTATAGTAGTTATTGAAGTACGCTAGCATTAAGAAGCAGAATAGTCTACTAATTAGGTAATTTCATGATTGCTGATGATGATACGGTGTACTTATACTATTCGTGCTATGTGTTTATAAGGCCGCAGTAGTCGACTATATAAGGTGATGTTTTTATGTAATGTCTTAATATAGCTGTTAGATAATATGGAATTATTATCGTGGAGACGAACCTGATTATTCGGTTTATCATAACCATTTTCGACTGTTATTATGAGGTACGAAAAGGGGAGTCTTCTCTTGTCGAGCGTTCTATCTGTAAACGGATACTTTTAAGATTAAACACGGCGTTTGCCTGATCTTGTATTAGGTTAGAGATTTGCTTCCTTTTAGTAATTCAGATTTTGAGATAGACAATTGCAAACTTGAGGGGTTATAAAACCCAGCACTTCAGCCTGAAATTTTCTACGTAACTATATTCTACTCTTAAATATAGACATGTTGTATTGCTCTTATATTTAGACAGATCTACAGTCCGCTTATTCTACGTTCATATATGGACTACTGTATTTAGTTATTACGGTACTCGCTGTTTTCTACAATCATCTGCTATTTGGAACCTGTTACGGTATATGTTGTATCTAATTCCACAATCCTATTCTCTGCATATGCTCTATCTTTAAAACTATAAATACCGGCAATTTCTACCTAAGAGTTCGTTAGCCTCCCAGTTAGTCTTCTAGTTAGTCTCTCACAGTCTGATACTACTACTCGTTACTCACGACAGCTTGCACGCTGATCTACCGTAACTACCTCACTGTACTTCACATTACTAACCTACTATAAAGCATAACTTTTATAAACCCTTTGGTGTAATAATTGTAAATGGCGACTAAATCTCAATCCTCTGAGATATTGAACCCTCCATCACAGTTATAATTTTAAAAACAACTAAAAAATTGTCAATTTTAAAGGGGTAGAATCGATAAGTCCATCCAAAAGATGACAACAGAGTAAAAGTTAGATAATTATAATGAACAATGAGAATCTGCAATTACCTGCAGACTATAAGGATGGACAGCACTAAATTATACTCAAATGATTTAATTTGCAAAACTGAAAATAAATAAATTTAGTAGAATTCGTAGTTCAGAGATGAATAGAAGACTTTTAAAAATAGGTAAGAATTGATATAGAGTTATATACTTCAATCATTATTTGAGCAAATAATTACAAGAATTATACTGCAAGTCGTTATCAAGAGATACCTTACAGTAAAAATTACTAGTTTCCGTCAAATTTAATCCTTTTGTACTCGGTAGTTGAGAACACACGGTAATTCTCATAGAATTTAATCACGATATTTAGAGATAGCTAGCATGTGGGCATTATCAGTAATGAATACTCGTATGTATGTATGATTTAATAGTAAATTTATACAATTTTTGTTAACGAAGGTAGCGTAAAAATTAAATAATTCTTTTCTAGAATTTTTCCTTACTAGCAATTATATAGACTTATTTCTAAGGCTTACGATTATACTTTACATTTTATTCGTTGATAGAACTACGTGCGTAATTTACCTTTACTTTACCCAAAGCCATATAGGCTGATTACATATTACCATATATGATAAAGGGAATTTTAATACTACTTGGGACTTTTAAGTTGACGTCAGCATTTATAATAAAGCATTCATGGTACCTACCTTTACCTTATTTTTTATGATATGTCATTTTTATAGAAGGTGATAAAAATCTAAACCTATTCAAAAGATTTTATTACAGTAAGTAACTATTTAATATTGCAATCTTAAGGAATAGAATAAATTATTATGGCGCATATTACGTATTATTACTTTAGTATTAAACAGTGAACATAAAGATCACTATACAGTAAATAATTAGAAGTTGAACTAGCCTATAGTTTTTTAACGATTTATCAATTGATTATAGTAATATCAATCACAACTGAAGTATTGTTCAATTCTTTAATTTTTGTTATGCAATAAACGAAAACGTTTTATAGGATTTATATAATTGCACTAATTCGTAACTTAGGATAATTATAGATAGATACGGTTACTGCTGATTTATAAGACGAAATATTTTTTAGCGATATGTAGACTTTATTACGAGTAATAGGCTATCAGGCAAACTAAATCAGCAAGCTAATGTTGGTTGTTGTGATAATGTTATATACTGTATCAGAGTAGAAATATCTATGTTAGGATAATTCTGTTAGCCTATCCTTATTTAGTTAACTTCTAATTTGGCATATGTACTATGATTATCATATAGCACTGACTTTTTATGATAGTGACACATATTCACTTACTGAAATTAATAGTTACAATAGGGAATGCAAATCACCTACTTACAGTTCGAATCATTATGATTTTAACTTACTTATGGTAGATTGTAAATTATTGTGGAAATGTTCCGTGATAGGTATATCGTAATCTGACTATTCTGTATCAATCATCAGATGTCTATGTTCATAAATACTGTTGTCTGCGTTAGGGAGCAGTAACTAAAATTAATATTTAACTCAGTGAATGATTCCAAAGTTAATCGTACTAACTATAATTCATGAACTAGTGAGAAAGAGTATATAAATACAGTATATCGTGTAATAAAGTCGATTCTCAAGCTTAGTGTTTAACGTAAAATACGAGGCGTCTAAGTCTTTGTGTAGTCTGCTAGTAGAGCAAAAGTGTTTTTGATAGTGCAGATATCATTCCTTGATACGTGGTTTAAGGAATTGACTTATTGATCGTACATTACGTTATCTAGTTGCAAAGCTGTTTTTGACAGTTGTATAGTAATATTTAATCTACTGCAGTAGCTATCTACTGTATTGTTATGTACTCTATAAGCTAGCATATGCAAAAGATTTTATTTCCATTTGATCTATTAATGAAACAATGTGATTATTGATAGTTAATAATCGATATTTCTTTAGCCATCTTTCAAATTTATAGTTACTGTGATGCTATCGCGTATCATAGGTTTTAGTTGCACCTTCACGTTCCATTATTAGTGGCACCCTTAAATTCAATTTTACCCCATTACCTAGGTAAGATAATCGACGAAATTACTGAGATTCTGTTTTAATTCTGGCTGATAACAGATTAATATTATAATATTAGTCATACTGCGAAATATAATTTTAAAGTAAATTTGTTTTATATAAATGGGTATATCCGACCACTATGAATTCTATTCTTACTTCATAATACCTTATTAATTTTTCTTCATAATTTTGCTAATTAATTCCATATTAAAGGGTTTATTTATTGAAACATATGAGTAGTAATATCAACAATATTTACGGTAAAATAAAGCACTCGGACATTTAAAGTTTGAAGACAACAGATGTTTTAATGCTAAATTTGACACAAACTACGATTATTCAATCTTATTCCTTAAAATTGTTACATTAAATTAAACTGTAATTTATTATATAAAATTATAATTGATAGCATCATCGAGCACTTAAGCTGAGCTTTTGATTGGATAACTCACTTAAGATTATAGCAACTACCGTAGCTATTCGTAAAAGTCTGTGGACAAAATTCAACGGTTACGTTAAGGTCATATTGGATATGATGTGAAAGGATTATTATCTCTATATCAAAAGCTGTAAGTTGTTCATAAGGCTGATCATATTTGATTCTTAATTGTTCTAATTTGGGTTTAATTGATGATAATAAAAATTTTAACGTCAACATTTTATAATATTACTAGAAATGACAATGGCGATTTAGCCTACCTGCTAGTCTTATTAAAGTATGAATTATTCACTCAAATATGTTAGCATACAGCATTGGTAGAAAAATGAATGTACGCCAACACATTTTTGGCCTACCAATAGAAACGAACCTAGATTATAAAAACTGTATTATATAATTCTGAATAAGGGATAAATTCATTATAATAAATAAATAAGGATTTCTTTATCTATATTCGGTCTCTATTTTAAATATTTAATCTTAGTGGTTATACTCCATTGAAATTGATTTAAAAAGTTTTAAACAATGCACCAATCATTGAAAAAAGTTTATTTAATTAGCCTTATAGTCAATCTACTAATCACTTATTTGTAAATTAAAACAGATTTAAACCGATATAGTCGAGAGATATCACTTTTCAACTTAGTAATCATGGCAGAAAACCTAACCATTAATTCGACAAGTACTTCATCAAGCGATGTTATTATGGCATCCATCGGTGTTATTGGAGTTTTAAGTAATATCTTTTTACTAGTAATCATTATTCGTTCCAAAAAATTTCAAGATGTTTCTTATATGTTTGTTATCAACGTAGCTCTCTCTGATTTTCTAACATCATTTGTCCTATGTTGCCTATTTTTACCCAAAATTTTAATTCCTGATTTCATGAGCTTTGTCGGCTATTCATTTTGTAAAATACTTTATTTCGTTTTTGCCTCTACATATGATGCTTCAGCTTTTAGTTTAATTATTATAAGTATATACAGATTTAAAATTATAACTGATCCTTTACATTATCGATCTAATTCATTTATATGCAAACACTCGGCTAAAGTGATTTTGATCATGTGGATCATCAGTGGATTGATTTCAGCGCCAGCCGCTTTACTTACGACAACAACCTACATTGGGGAAGCACGCTGCGATGTCTATTACCCTTTCGGCTACATTCCCAATATTATTTATTTTACCTCTTTTTTCTTCATTACTTATGTTATACCTTTAACTATGATGTCACATAACTATATTCGAATCAGCAAGGATCTTTATTCTCGTACTTATCCAAAAAATTACGGCAATTTATTGCGGGTTCGTCTACCAAGACATAATCGCAATAAAAGTGTTATTCAGTTTTTGATAGGTATTACATGCGCTTACATGATAACATCGGGGCCAATATTTCTTGGACTTATGGTTTTATCTATAGCTGGTGGATCTTATACACAATTACGGGAAAGTAATTATTTGCTATCTAGATTGCTGGTAGCCTCTCTCGGAATATCGGCATCTACTTGTTTTATTAATCCAACTTTATGTCTAATATTTGACAAAAATATAAGATCAGAAATTCGGAGAATATTATATAAAACACCGCCTGAATCCGTCGTATCAACTTGAATAGATAAAATTTTATTCAGATTTTTAAAGGGGAAGCATATATGTTCGTCTTGTATGATTTTTCATCCTCTTCCACGTTTTGTTATTTATTCATTTAGATTAAAGTAATCATAAAATTGTTACGCTAGATGATGAAAGTAGTTTGGTGCTACGTTGATATGATTCCTAGTAGTATAGTGCTATGCAATATAATTTAAGTATTCTATTGGCGAAAAATTGATATAAAAGGCGATTATGATTATCAGCAGGTATTGAAAAAAACGAATTAAACTATCTATTTATGCTCATTATGTACGCTCTACTCATGTGCGTGATTTACGTGAAATTAAAATTTTTTAAATTAAATTATATCAAGATGTTTTCTGTAGATCATTTTTTAGCTTATTCGTAATAGAGTATCGTAGATATGAGTATAGAACGTGTACTAGAAAAAATTACTTTTTAGAACGTAAATTAAAAATTTTTTTATATAAACATGTAAAGACGTTTTCTTGGATATAAGAAAGCTCATGAGAGAAAAGGAAAGGCTTCCATGATATGAATGATAGTTTTATTAGAATGTTGCATTGTATACAATTTTGGCACGTAAGCTGGTGTCTTAAGCCCAGTAATCGACAGCGTCTATATTACAAAAAACGTTAAGGCTACAAAAGTAACAAAAGTAGGCTTGCAGATATTTCTACTGCCTAAATAGTTATTACTTTCGTAGATTAGCGTAAGGTGTTAGTTGCACGAAATCATTCATCAAAAAAAGGATGTAAGGCATGAAAATCGTTACGCTTTATTTTTTAGCAGATCTTACTCATGATGACAATAAATGTTGCTAAGTTACTCTATCTAGTTTCAGCTACGTCAATATGATCAAGACTTCCTTTTAGGTATAAAAATACTTTGTCTCTAATGTATGTTACTAATAAATAATTACGCAATTGTGTAGATGTTATGGTAAATTATTTTGATGCTACGACGTGATTAAAATATTTAGATCATCTATTATACAATTATTAATTAGGTGGCCAATATCTTTAGCTCTTTAAGGAATTTTGCAATTGTCAGTTTCCTAGTCCTTTTGTTTAAATTTCTAAACTACTATTAATAACAGTCATCTACTATGAAATGCGTCGATGATTCTAGCGAGACATAATACAGATTAGTACTGCTGCTAGTCATACCATCCATCCCTTATTGTAAATCCATTATTCCTCCTAATCGTAAAGACTTATTAGCGTAGGTAAATTCTGCGTTGTAAAGTGCTAGAAATGTTCGTTTTTAATCTATCTATTTTAAAAGCGGTATGTTTGTAGTATTTCAATGCTAAAGTAATAAAATATTTAAGCAGTGAGGTAATAGCTATTAATTAAGCTCTGGTATTGTTCTAATAAAGATAATAGAAGTATCATTGCTAGTAATTAGTTATTGTCTATATTTCTTTCCTGTATATTATTACTAACAATAAGATCAATTTATCCGAAATTAAAGTATCGTTAAAATTGCAAGTTTTACTATCATCAAAGTATTTACTGGACGGACTACGTACGGTAGTGATTTTCTGATGCACTCTTCTTGCTTGTAGTTGGATTATTGAATAAACTAGCCACAATTGCAATATCAGTGCTTCATATTACGAATTCTTTAACTTTTATATGGCTATTAAGGAAGCTGTTCGTACGCTACAGTCAAATAACTCAAAAATTTCAACATATTGAGCTTGATGCAAATCAAGAGTTTTACTGCCTGGTTAAAATTTATCGGCCACATTTATATTTATCAAATAGAAGGATTTGCAGCCTGACCTTTCGGAATTCTAACTTCTTTAATTTATCAGGAAACTATGAAGGTTAACTGCGGTTTACAAAATGACCAAGACTTACTGCAGATTTTGATTGATCTGAATCAACTTAAACCACTACTGTATGTCTTTTCCGTGATCCCCGTTCTTAGATCATACTTACTCATTTTTGAGACAATCAGATAACCTGTATTCATTTGAGAAGGGTTATTATTTAAACCACAATTTGTAGCTTAGATTTTTAGAGCCAAGGTTAGAAGAGCTATCGCTTGATCTTACCAGTGCTTTATTCGATTCTAAGTTAGCAACATTTTACCAAAATTACTTCCAATGTTATTGAAACATTAAAATATCATATAATTATAAAGGTAGTAGACATTTTACGTGCTTCAGAGCAGTAATCAAGCTTCAGTATCTCAGCACATAAGGAAGTAAACATTGATCCCTAATAAATGTATCTATTAAGTATAGAGAGTGATTAAAAATTAAATATAACTTTAGTTTCATTGATGGATGGGATATTTATCAAAGTAATTTTAATGATGTCCTTCCCCGGAATTGTCTTTTTTCGGACACGCACATAAGATTAAAGTCCTGTAATGGTAGTCTGCTGATAATAATGTAAATATCTCTGCTGCAAATAAGTTACTCATAATAAGAAACATTTAGACATTACTATTGAGTTGTATATGAGTAGCCAATCATAAATTTTTACTTGAAATCAAGTTCATATTTTTATTATGCGTATCTGAAATTAATTTAAAAACATAATGTACACCAAACTTTCATGATCCTGATATTATAGCAAGAGCGCGTATCCATTTTAAATCTTTTCAAAAGACTAATTTTATTTATTGAGAAAGTATAGTGCTTTTTTAACTTTTAAAAACAATATAAGTGATTGCTAATTGTAATATCCTTCGTTCTATAAGTACTTGTAAATATAACTAGGTGAATTTTATGATAATACACATTCGCTATCGGTTGTTGACACATAACATGTTATATACTGGGCCTGCCACTGCAATAGATCTGCAAAGACACTACAAATTTTCTTACTATTAGTTCGGAGTAATGGTTGCACTGGTTTAAGGGAGTTTTACCGAGTTATAAAATATTTCTTACCATATTATCAGAATAGCAGTTTTTGTTCGTTAAAATTTTGGTTGGAGTTTTATTGAAATGAAATTATCTACCATATATTCATTTAGGTATCTGTATAGATTTCTGCTTGTTTTGCTGCTCATCTTAGCAGGAATAATTCATTACTTATCTTATATCATCGCTGAATAGCTGATCAAAATAATCGTAATCACCTTGATAAATTGCAGTGTCTACCTTAATATTACCGTTACATCACTAGAATCTGAGAGCGGGCCAATGAATGAATCATATATGTAGAAAACTGGAGCAGGTTTGTTTATAACAGAAATATCTTAGCGATATTGTCTAAAATTTCTTTATATAAAATATACTATAGCAGCAAATTAATAATGTGTTAGTCAATACGATGCTTACACTATCATGCTGCTTGCTTACAAACGTAGAATGTAAATTAACAATTTGATCATACAGTTTCTAAAGTATCGCAATTTGTTACGCTAATGCAGCGCTTCGATCTTTACTTGGCTATTTTATTTCTTACCCAATTTCCTATGTAAAATATCACTAAGGCTGTAGCCTCTTTGCAATTTGTATTAGTCATTGAAATTTTTATTATTATTTTATCATGATTTCACACTGTATCAAACGTTTGAATTTCTTTTGGAATATAATAGCATCGATTATAATTCAGTGATACAATTGGAGTCCTGTTCTATATAATATACATACGATATTAATGCCAGATAATGCCAATGACGATTCTTTCTGTCATTATAATAATTAAAGTATTGTCATTGCAGTTGATTTATATTATCAAATTATTACTAATAATGAAATAAATGTTCAATACACTAACAATAAGATGACTATCTGAATACCCTATAGCTATTACTATACACCTCAGAGGTTACGAATGGTTCAAAACGTCGATAAGCTTATTTTCTCAAATAGCGTATTTAAAATTACTGCTTAAAGTTTTTCGATTCCCCTTCCTCTTTATATGAGCTTAAGAATTTACATACTGGCCTGGTTTATTGATTTCGCTATGCTGCATTACGAAACGCAGCTGCTTGTACTGTTTAAAAGAAATTCTACTTGACTAGCAATGGTTACTGCTATAAAGTGCTATTTCTATCCCTACCCTTAAACAGTCCCTTAATACGTTATCTTCTACATGCAGCGGTTAAAAAAATAGTTTATTACTTGCTGTTACTGTGCTCGATATTTCTTGAATATTACTAAATATGAGTGGCTGGCATCCGAGTATTCGTGTAATATGGAATTTAACTATATGTAAACTTGATAATTAATTTTAAATCCAAGTTCCACTGAGACTAATGTAGAGCACGCTGTCATGAACATACAATAATTAGAAGTAACAAAATCAATTTAACCTAAATCCGTGTCTCCTGACTCAACTCTATAGTATAGGAATAGCTTAGTTTCCTTATACAGATTCTCCTGAAGTTAGTCGGAGATTAAGAAGAGTAGATAAATTAGATTATGTCCGATGACGAAAACTATTTTGTGACACTTGCTTAAAGTTGTTGTTGAATACTAGCACAAGTGCCGTTCAAGTGAACCGCTAGAGAAAATGCTCGCTATTCCAGTGCTATTATCTACATATTTATGTTATATATATATTTTTATTTGAAAATTGAATATTCTGGCATATTTATTGTAATTATGAATAAATGAACTTTAGAAGTGATCTGTTTATAATATAGATAATAAGTGTTCTGCGGCAAATTATTCTCTGCGAATGAGATGCTGTATTTTATTTACAGCAAGATATCACAATGAAGCCCCTTTTAAATTAGCCAGTATTTTATATTCATTATTACACAACATATGGACAAATATGTTAGCCAAATTCTTCTTCTTAATGAAATGATCTCATAAACTAATCTACTTTATCGCATAGATTCATCATCCAGCTCTATACTTACTATGGCTCATTGAAAAAATTCTACAATTGTGTATTGATGTCAAGCTATACGACTAATACCATACATCATTATTGAGGAAATAAATTAAGAAATAAATTCAATTAAAACAATTAATAACTTTACATTGAGGTGAAAGTAGTTTATCATTATAAAATTCA